TTTTAATGTTGATGGAGAAATCCGTGGTGGCCCACGCAGCCCCTTAACCTGGCTTTAACCGGGGTCTGCGCTTCTTACCGACCCTCCCTCCGCAGTTTGTCCGTAGCAAACCCCTTCCTGCAGGCGGAGGGAATCCCCTCTGCTCCTGCCAGCCGGTAATTTGGGTTTTGCAGCCCATCCTATGGGAAGCCGTCGCACTGAGGTGGTATTGAATGCTCCCCTGCTTTTGCTTGCCATGTATAGTTAAAAGAAAAGCCTTTGTTTACAGAAGCCATATTAACCTATGTTAAGAGCCTCTGCCTGTTTCTGTAATAAGTCCTTCTTACCTCCACTTAAAGATAAATTAGTTAGGAAATTACAATTAAAGTCTCGCATCCAAACAGTTTTAATGGTGTAACTTAATTTGCCCTCCTCTGCTCCAGCGTTTGCCTGTAAAATGTCAGGGTTTGGTTCCAGCCACCTCACTTTTCTGTCCACGTACCCGCCTGCACCCAAGCGTCCCTGTGCGCAGGTGCTCCCGCCCTGCTGCCGGCTGCTCCTCGCAGGGAGCTGGGCCCTGCCCCGAGCCGCTTGCTGCAGACCAACAAAAAGCAAGGACATGCGTGCCCATCTCTTCTTGCGTGGGGGCAATAAACCCCAAACTCCCTGTCCCTTCATGGCTTTGCGTGGGGTGTGTTGCTCGGCATCTTGTTGGGGCTGGCCGCTGGCCTCCCTCCAGGGGAGAAGGAATTGCTCCGATTTCCAGCAATCCCTCTGCAAACCAGAGGCATCCGATGAGCTGCTGGCAGCCCTGGGCTTTGGCCTCTGCTGCTGCCTTTGCGTGGCTTTGAAGTCCCCGTGGGCCCCAGGTGAGGAAGGGCCATGGGAAGTGGGACGTACAAGAACTTGAACTTCTGTGAACTGCCCTTAAAGAAGAACAGGATGGTGAAACGTGTGATTTTTCTAAATACCTCCTGCCCCGTGGTCTCCTGCGGCGGGGTCCCACTGCCTGAAGGACCCCGGGTGCCATGGGGGAGGCTGCTGGCTCTGGGACCATCAGAGCTGGCGAGTGCTGTCAAACTCACAGAGGGGGGGAAGTTATTTATTTTCTGTGTAATCTCTTTAATTACAGTAATAATGCTTCATTCTTCTAAAGCATTTTTTGGACATGAAAGCAGCTTTAGCGTAGGGGAAGTGATATTTACTTCATTGTTATGGTAATTGTTGCCATTTCCTTCCAGTGAAAGGCACTCAGGCAGAAGTAAGTCTGAAGTCCTACCTTGCTGCTCTTACCTCTTCTCCTTGGTCGCATTTGTCAGTGCTTATGGGCACGTACCAAGGACATAGATCAACAAAGTGGCAAAAATAACCACCTCATGAGAAATTGTGACCCTGGAGACTAAAATGTCATAAAATAGCCTCTCTGGTGGT